TGTAAATCTGGCGTGACAGTGAACATGTTAATAAGTAAATGTTGTTCAAATTATATCGTGTTTGATATCAGTTTCATCAGAATAATCTCACCAACATGTTAAAAAAAATTCCAGATGAAGAAAACTAAAATTAAAGAAATTATATTTTTCTATTATGATTTGTCAAGTCGTGTAATCTCGCAAAGGAATCCGACTGGTGTAGCGTTACACGCTTGACTGACTGCGAGCGTGATAACATGGGCGTCGGACCATCTATACTGTCACTTGTAGAATCCAAACTTACTGACTCTTGCAGAGAATTTATTGTATTCGTACCTGGAAGCTACACCTACTGCAACATCTGTCCCAACATCACGCTGCATCGTCGAACGAATTTCTCCTCAAGTATCAATTTACTTCTATCCTCATAAAAAAAATCCACCTATGATATAACAGATAAATCACAACTCCCCTTGGAGTGCAAACACTCAACGCGTAAAGTCATCGCAGCCAGACGTAACACATCCACAAAAGCTACCACCCAATCTTCCCGAATCTCCGCCAGACCATTAGCAGAAGGTTCCGCGAGACCAACCGAGAGAAAGAGAGAGAGAGAGAACCTCCACTCAATCCAGCAAACTTTGTCCCGACGCCGTTCGCCTCGTACCGTTGTAGAAACGCCTGGGCCCGTGTGGTGGTCGACAGGGGTTGCGTAAGTTGGTCCAACCTCCCGCGGTCTTGCGTCAGAGAATCAATTATTGGATCCGTATATCAATCTGATGACCGAAGCGCGTTCGTGGCGTGCGGCTCCCCGCTGCTTTTACGCATTTTCTTCTCCCCTTGCCCCCTGTGTCTCCGTCCATTCCGTAACCGCGAGGGGCACGTCGTTCCTCTCTGTCTCTCTCTCTTTCGAGGAGAAAGAGGAAGAAAGAGAAAGAAAGCCACGGGTTCTTCTCCGTACGGTCCCATCAGGACCATATAGAGCGATCGCGACCGGTTCTTCTCTTCTCGGTGTGTTTCACGGCCGATTCTGAGTGCGTCTCGCGCGTGACGTAGCGCGTAATGTTGATTTTTCGAACGACCGACTGACTCGGACTTTCTTCTTTTCCCCGCAGGGCGCCGAAGAGGATGACAGCGCTTCCGTTGCCTCGGTAAGTTCATCCGTGCAAGCCTTTACGGATTATAGTAGGCATATATTCACCAGAGTCAGTTGACGAGCGGAATAAACGTCGTGAGTCCAGAGAAAGAGAGATTGATGGGTGTACAGTGTCTATGTTGGTAAATTGTGCGTGGTGGTATGATAAACGCACGTGATCACGGTATCGAGATCTTAATTA